GTTGTTAAGCGAGCTGATTAGCACAGAACATAGAGCAGCACTAGCTCAGGGCTGAAAAGCATTGATCTGGAAACCCTGCTCTCGCTGGACCTCTGGCAGTTGCTGCCAACTCGAGGGCCTCAGTCCTGTGCACTGTTCCCTGTTCTGATTTGTGCTTGGACTTTTCAAGTCCTTTTGGCCTTCCAGCCCAAAAATGCCCAAATGAACACAAACCACCTTGTATGGATCATCTAGCCCAAGCTGCCACCTGCTGCGGGTATTGGCAGAAACCACCTTCCTGAAAGAAGCTTTCTGCTAACTAGAGGCTTATGCCCTAATGGAGAAGGGAATAAATCCTTTCCTTGGCTCTTGCTGCCTCAATATTATGATGCCTTTTAAATAGCTTTTAAGAGCTGACAAAGAAGGATATTAGTATGCAAGAACTTGCTTGCAGATAAGTTGCATGCTTGATTTGGGAAAGGATGCTGACTGTGTCTCACTTAAATGAAGTCTGGTGACCTCCAGCAGCTGAGAGAATGAACTGCTCGTGGTTCTGTGAGCTGCTGCCCTCTGTTGCACAAATCCAACACAACATTGACACTGTTCCCCTAATAGCAGGGAGAGAAAATAGTAATATACTGAATGAGAGTTAAAGCCAGCCAGAAAATGCCAGCTGTCTTCCTTGGGGAAAAATACTCATGAGCAATTATGTTGGTTATGTGCGTAACGGAGGCATGACAATGGCTGTGAAGGAGAAAGTGCCAATATTGTACCTCCAGTTGCTGCTGAAGGTATATAGCATTTCTCAATTTGTGATATTAGAGCATTCCAGGCTGCCTTTGAAGTGTGGTGGGAAAATGTATATCTCCGCTATAGAAGTTATCTGGAGTTTTATATGCTGATAGACAAGCAAACAACATGCTTTCAAATCTGAAGACTATTCTTTGCTATAATATGTACAGGGAAAAATTATTTCAACTTCCTTGTTGAATTGAAGATTAATCTTAATTTAGTTTCCCAGTTAAAGTAAATGTTTTAATACAAGATCCTTAATGACACTTTTTTCTTAATTCAAGGATGATCTCTCAACTAGTCCTCAGGCGTTTACTCCCATGAGCCCTTATGATGTAGACCTTCCAATTCAAACAACTGAAGATGTGTTGTTTGGTTCTCAATTTAATCAGCTGAAAGAGCTTCCTGCAGATTTCTCTTCTGTGGATCTCAGCTTTCTTCCAGATATTAGCCATGGTAACAAAGAACAAAACCTATCTGAAAATAATCATGAAATGCAAAAAGAGTTTGATGGGTCAATATCAAGAAATGAGGACAGCAGTATTTTCATGGATGAAGGCAGCTTGTCCTATCCAGATGCAACTCAACCATCTCCTGAAGCATCTGGTGTGTGTCCTCCTCTGACATCAATGACTCCTATGACGCCAGTGACACCTTCATCGGAAAGCTCTGGCATAGTTCCTCAGTTACAGTAAGTTTATATATGGAGTATATATGTAATATATTATGTATAGTCATAGTTTTGCTTAAACTGCAAGGTACTGCTCTGACTTCTCATAGAATATGGCAAGTGTGGTTTGGTCTTAAATAAGCCCACCCAAAAAACTGGGCCGGGGTGGGGGCATTTATTCCTCTTTGAGGAGATATGGAGCAAATGAACTGACAATATTGGAAAGCAACTGGATACTCTGCTGATCAGTGAAATACAAAAATGGAAGTGGCACAGAACAATACACAGCTTAGCCAAACAGGAGAGAGTGGACTTGATAAACATGCTGGGTGAGCAAGTATCTGAAATGCCTCTGGCTTGTTAAAAGGGAAAAGTCTCTTCTGGGAGTGAGGAGATGAAGTCTCAAAGGGAGAAATGTTTGGTAGAAATTATTTTTATATAGCATGTACTGCTGGTTACTTCAGTCTGCAGGACAAAAAGACAAAAATACTTGAAAAGGAGGATTTCTTCCAGCAAGGAGAATGTGAAGGATGACAGCAGACTGCAGGGGTTTAAAGATGTTGGCCTGCTTTTCTGAGAGCAGAAATGATCACAGCTGAGGAAGGCAAAGGGGCATGAAAAGAAGTGTGATAAGTTGTGGCCTTGTTAAAAGATCCTGTCCCATCTAGGATAGAGCAACTATGGAGTAGTTTGTAGAGAATAGCATGCTCTTACCTACCTTAAGAGTGTTGTGATAACTCTGTAAACACTCAGTAATGGTTCAATTCAAAGCCGTAAAAGACTTCAGTGATGTGCTTATTGGAAGATACACACTTAGTATTTGGGAACTAATAATTTTATGCCTTGTTATATCTCAAACTGTAATTTTGGTATTGAATTACTTAAGTTTTGCCAACAGTAGCTTAATGCTAGAGTGGGAAGGAGGTAGGCAGGCAATTAGTTGGTGGCAATTATTAATTGGAGTGTGACTTCACATTAGGCTAATAATGTTGGGGGTTGGCTCTGCAGCGGCTTGCTTTTGCAATAACTAAATTCCTCTCATTCCTCAGGAATATAGTTTCGACTGTAAACTTGGCTTGTAAACTAGATCTGAAGAACATAGCTCTGCATGCCAGAAATGCAGAGTATAACCCAAAGGTAAATCTTAAGGACTTGAAGCTTTATCCTCACTTCCCTTTCTTAGTGCTGATGGATTATAATACACAAATTCACCATGAGCTTTGTACCTTTTCTAATAGCACTGTCTTGACCCACAGGGGAAAGGCATAAAAATCTGCAACTTGGGCCCGTTAAATTAAAAGAAATACAGGGGACCATGAGGAGATTTATTTTTCGTTGTTTGAATAAAGCCCCAGCAATGAGATACTACTATGCTATTTAAGAAAGGAGATAAACTCTCCCACCAGTGGCCAGCTACCTCCAGCTGAAATGGCTCAAGCAGCCCTCACTGGGAGGAGAAAAGTTCTGCCCTGAAACTCTTGGCTGAAGGAAAGAGAATTACTGGAGTCAAACTGGTATTACATGATAATTCTAGCAAGTGGCCTAGACTGTAAAACATCTCTGGGAATTATAGGCTTTCTATAAGTGACTCCAGACTGCTCAGTAAAATGTTAGGGACAAAGCAGTGGTCCTGTGA